TAAAAATCTCCAACGATGGAGATTCCACAACCTCCTTAGGCAATTTATTCCAGTGCTCAACTATAACTTCCTGATAGTTAGGAAGTTTTTCCTAATGTCCAACCTAAACCGCTCTTGCTACAATTTAAGCCCATTGCTTCTTGTCCTATCCTAAGAGGTTAAGGAGAACAATTTTTCTCCCTCCTCCTTGTACTTATTCACTTGAAAACGGTTATCATGTCCCCTCTGTCTTTGCTTCTTCAGAGTAAACAAACCCATTTTTTTCAATCTGTCCTCATAGGTCATGTTTTCTAGACCGTTAATCATTTTTGTTGGTCTTCTCTGGAGTTTCTCCAATTTGTCCACATCTTTCCTGAAATGTGGCGCCCAGAACTGGACACAATACTCCAGTTGAGGCCTAATCAATGCGGAGTAGAGCGGAAGAATTACTTTTTGTGTCTTGCTTACAACACTCCTGCTAATACATCCCAGAATGATGTTTGCTTTTTTTTTTTCTTTTCAGCAGTGTAACACTGTTGACTCATATTTAGCTTGTGATCCACTATGATCCGTAGATCCCTTTCTGCAGTATTCCCATTTTGTATGTGTGCAACTAATTGTTCCTTCCTACGTGGAGTATTTTGCATTTGTCCTTATTGAATTTCATCCTGTTTACTTCAAACCATGTTTCCAGTTTGTCCAGATAATTTTGAATTTTAATCCTATCCTCCAAAGCACTTGTAAGCCCTCCCAGCTTGATATCCACATTAGACTAGAAGGTCTCACACCTCTGAAGAATGTGCTCTAGTCTAATCATAAATCTATGAGAGATTCTGATATTGGCGTCCCTCAGTCTCTCCTGTTGAAGTTGTTCCAGTGGATATAAATATAAAGAGTCACAGGAGCGAGGGGACTCGATTCTGGGTCACCCACCTTCCAGGGGTGCACTAAGCACTGGTCTCTAGACTTGTTCTCCCTCTCTGGACCTAATGACTCCACAATTATTTATACCCAGTGGAACCATTTCAACAGTATGTCCACAATAGCGAAAGGGGGACCATATGTAATTCTCCACTGGTGCAACTTAGCCATTGGTGGAAGCTGTAGTGCAAACAGGGCTCTGGTGTCTTTACCACTGTATTATTGAACTCTGCTCAGAGCAGGTCTAGACTATGCTGTGGTAAAAATGCATGAAGGCCTCAGCCCTGTCTACACTACAATTTCTATCAACAGTGGTGAAAGCTAGCAGAGCATCAGCCATGAACCAAAGAAATCCCCCTCCAAGTTGATACAACGGATTAAACCATAGGGAGGTGTACTTTTGAGAATGTGATACCTTAAGTATTATCAGTACCAAAGTACTATCAATGGAAGAGAATATTTGGCATGTTGGTATAGGGTCAAATTCTCCTCAGACAATGGGGTTGCACTGTATAACTGAGAAGAGAATGTAACCCCTAACTACCAGGTTAATTCAGATTTTCCTTAGTTGTGACACTGAGGGAAGGTTTTGTGGAGAAGCCGAGAACAAGCATTTCAGCTTCTATATCGACACGGCTGTGCTGGTACCACTGCCCTTAAATACGGTCCTGTTTGTGCCCTGTTCTAGCATTAATGATATTTATGGGAATGCTGGTAGGAATGTTAACCTGACCTGTAGTCTAAAACTTGGTTTCGGGGGTGGGTGTGGAAGGGAAGTGTTTTCCATAGGAGACAATTTATGTGCAGGAAGCTCAACTAGGAACATTCTTAATATTTAATTATTTTGTGATGGAATCGGTATTTAACACTCAGGTTGAAGGGGAACCAGCTAGTGTATGAATATCCTTTCGAATGATGATTTTCAGGGAATCCATATTAAGTTCACTGGCTTCTTTCACTTGATCCATATATTTTGAACCAAAACATTTTAGCCTTTTGGCGTCCATAATATTAAAATAACAGAGCCCTTCTTGGAGGCAGCATTTATTAAAGAGCTGAACCTCTGTTTCTAGCCAGTTTGAGGTCTGATCCATTGAACCTGACTTCAATGGTAACTTCATGCATGGACCTTTTGCCAGTTCAGGCCTTCATTTTGTATCCAGAATGTGACTATTTTGTTTGTTGTTGGTAGGAAAGCACATGGTGCACAGTGACTTGTTAGTTTATCTGGTGAATAAAGACAGCCTAGAGGGAGTGGGGCCAATTTTCTTATGCCCAGTAAGGTCTTTTGTTTTATGTGAACAGCTAATGATAAACCAAGGCTGGACAATAGAGGCTAATGGGAGAACCCATAGCAAATATGCCAAGTATCAAGCTGTCCGGTACCCTGAGCATTTGACTGAGAACAAGAAACTACTTAGTGCTAGTCCTGGCTCTGGCTCTGGGTTACTCTGTGGCCTTGATCAAGTCACTTAGCCTTTCTATTGTAGAATGAGGCTAGAAAGACCCATCTACCTCTAGAGAAGTGTGTGGTCTCTCAAATAATAAAGTAGGCTTTGTGAGGTGATTAATTGGGTTAATATTTGCACAGTAAAGCTCTGTAAGTACAAGAGGGATCTGAGAGGAGCTAAATCCATTGAGGCAATGAGATGTGTAAAGTCATGCTACCAATGAAAGTTAGACCAAAACGGAGCCATCTTTGATGGACCAATTATTTCCATTTGGCTTTGTCAAAAATCTGTGTTGCTGTAATGAAATAACAGCAGTGGGAACAGCCGGGGGCTTACGCTAATAATAATGGAGATATCCCATCTCCTAGAACTGGAAGGGACCTTGAAAGGTCATCGAGTCCAGCCTCCTGCCTTCACTAGCAGGACCAAGTACTGATTTTGCCCCAGATCCCCAAGTGGCCCCCTCAAGGATTGAACTCACAACCCTGGGTTTAGCAGGCCAATGCTCAAACCACTGAGCTATCCCTTCCCCCAATGTAACACCATGGGTTTTGTTGGGATAAACCTGACTTCTACCAGTGTAAATGGTATCTGAATTGGGCCCTGTGAGTATTTTGTTCTTATTGTGTAACAATTTGGCTTACGCAGAGCCAGTGCCTTTGCATAAACACTAGATAGGTTACGTAGGGCACATAAACGGAGGGTTCTCACACTCTCATAGCATTCACCTTAACAGAAAGATCATCTTGGCTCATCTCCCCTCCCATTTATGGTCACATCCTCATCTCCCTGCCACATGCAATTACTTGTCTGTGTCTTCTAGTAAACTACTGAATTTTCTGTAAACGAACCTTGGGGCTTTTTTTTTGGTCAGGTTGGAATTCCAGGAATGTCTGAGGAAAGTGAGGTCCCAATCATGCAAAGCACTAAGCATGTGCTTAACTTTAAGTGCTTTAAGTTCCAATGAAGAAAGTGGAGTTACTCACATTCTTAAAGTCAAGCACATGCTTATGTAGCGTTGTTATGAAATCTGTACAAGACACGTGGCATTTCTGTTGTGTTTCAGTGAACTAAATTTCTCTGAAATTGCCATGTGAATAAAGTTATATTCCTGATCAAGAGAATACTCAATGGACTATTTCCTTGGTATGAACACAAGATTTCCCATGGCATTGTGTGCTGGGATTATTGGTTTACAGACACCATCGTCTCAGTCCAACAGTCTGTTTTGCTACAAAATATAGTTCTCCTTGGAAGTAAAAATGGTGGATTTTGCAAAATGTGGGCTGAGATTTATATATATTTCTAGCACCAAGTAATTAATCTGTAGCTACATGTGGTTTCCTTTTCTCCTTTAGCCAGTTGGATTCAAGGGTCATAGCCTGCATGTGGAACTCCCATTGACATCTGTGGGAGTGGTGTGCAAACACTGAAGATAGAATATGGCCTCTCTACTCTTTTTTTCCAGATAGCAGAATAAGCTTGGACTATCCCAGCACTCCAGTGACATTGCCTACACTCACATTGCCAACCTGCAATGCTGCAATTCCCAAGAGGAACCCTGTTCTAATGCAATATCTTTCCATTAGTTCTGCTGTCCTAAATCTACTGCTATTTACAGATTTGGATCCAGAAATGTAGCATTTTTCCTTTACCAATGGCAGCTGCTTGGGGGCAGATGTATCTGCTATGCAGTCTTTTGGCGGATCAGTGCTAAAATGACCTTGGTTAAGCTAGAAAATCTGAACCAATCACCATTTCAGATTGCCTTGTTCTAGGATGATCTGCATTCTTCACTAAAGGAGGGTGGATAGGGGGCAGCAAGATAAACTGGAAAAACCAGCTATTGTGTATCTACTCCCTTCATTTATTGTATTGATCGTGTTCTGCCCTTGTTCAGGCACTGGTTTACTACACAGAGTTGGTTATACACAAAAGGTTCATTGCACGGTCCAGGTTCTGGTATCTTATGTCCAGGTGCTTTCCACGTCCAGACAATAGCATCAGCATATATGACTATCAGCAAATTTCTTAATATGGAAGAAACCAATACTTGGATTTGAATCCCTCACAGTGATAGAAAACCATCACCGCTGGTCCTGCACGAACAAACGTCAGAGCTAATTTCTGTATGGTGGAAGGCCACAATCAAGCCCAATCTTGTGATCCCCGGGCACCCAAAAATCCTTTTGAAGCTCGTGATAAGGAAAGCAAGATCAGCTTCAGATTATTATCCCAGAGGCCCTATTGTGCTAGGTACTGTACATACATATAGTAAGAGACTTCAATACTTAGACCAAGTAGACAAGACAGACAAAGGAATAAGTGCTATTGTCCCCATTTTATGTGAGGAATGACAGCACAAAGATTAAGTGACTTTCCCAGAGTCTAACAAGAAGTCTGTGGCAGAGCTGGGAAATGAGCCTAAATCTCCTAATGCCCACTCCAGGGCATTAACCGCAGGACCATCTTCCCCTCAAATTTCTGCCTTGCGTTAATGCCCACTCATTAATGGGACAAACGAGTTATGTTGCCAAGAATGACCCTTCCCTGATCAGTCTTATGCTTTATTAGCAACATGAATGCCAGCATGACTCTCTCATTGCTACAACATGTTAAACACCTTGGAAATGTTTCCTTAAACTCTAGGTCAGTCTTATGAAATCCGTCTACTTGAGAATAGGAAATTGGGAGAGTTTCAAGATTTAAACACAAAATATGTAAAGGTAAGGAGAAATATAGATTTCTTTTCTTCCTGCTACTACATACAGACACAAATCAAGGCCCTGACCGTGCTGATCATGGAGGACAATGGGAGATATTTTGCCATTGACTTTAATGGGAGCAGGACTGAAGGCCTAATTCCTGAGTTGGTTAGAGCTGCACGTGCAGTTTTGCTTTGCAGGGTTTCATCTAAACCTTTGCTTTGGTTACAATCGTGCCCTCAGAGTTTCACTCTGAGTTTTGGGTTCAGATGAATCCCAAAATTCAAAGCTAAACTGGGCTGAAACCATTGAGCTCACTTCATCTACTGGCTTAACCCATGCAAAGCTATAAACTAACCCCAGGTTCAACGCACCTGGGCTCAGATACGTGTTCAGAAGGAGGACTCCAGCTTTTCACATAGCTTTCTCACACAGGTCTTACACAGCTCAAGTTTACATTAGTGGTGGACTCAACCCACAACATACAGAACTACCTCCTGAGTTCTGGGTTGTTTGACTCTGGGGTTTGAATTTTACAAATACAGGGATTTTGCAAAATTTGGATCCAGATCTTGGTTCTGGTTTCAAGCCCTCCTTGCCCAAATTCTTGTGGTTGTGATCCAGGGATTTTCATTAGAGAAGGGCCATTTGCAAAATTTGGATCCAGATCTGGATTTAGACCATCTCCAGAGTTCAAGCATATTTGAATTCCATGTTTTTATTCAGCCCACGACAGGAAGGATTTATAAAACGTGGCTCTGGGTTCAGATTTGCACACATGCTCTCTTGCTAGGAGAGCAAGCAAGTGCTTGGATCTAGGTTTTGGTTTGGGCCTTTCTCTAATTTTATATGCAAAATTAATCTCACTTCCATTCTGAATGGATGGCAACAGCAAGACAATGGACTTGGAAACTGGGAGGTGAGGGATAATTAGCACTTTGCATATGCAAAGCAATACATTAGTACAAAGTCTCTTTGGCTTTGCCTGCATTGGGCATTTGCCCTGATTCTGGGCATTTGGTCTCTGGCCACTGATGTAGCTGCACCAGTCCAAACCTGAAGTGAAAGGGGAGCAAGCTCTGCTGGTGCAAACAGAGGCTTTCGTAGTCTACACTGGAAGAGGTGCACTGGGGCAAACCCTACATCAATGGCTTGGCCATCGATTGCTGGAATCAAGGCAAATTCCCACTGACAAGGCCTCTGAAGTTCAAAGAGAGCATTGCCTTGATGAACCATCTCTCAATGGAATTTGACATAAATGGAGATGGGTGGCTTTCATTGGGACACTCTGATCTCCTCCTTGATGGGAGTTAGACTCATGGAGGAGGAACAGATCAGACCCCCATCTCTGACACTGGGAAACCAAAATCCTCTCCGGAAAAGGGCTTCTGGCTCCCCTAATTCATTTTGCCCTCCTCTCTTAACAGAGCATCCTTCGGGTGGTTTTCCATGATCGGCGTCTGCAATACACAGAACACCAGCAGCTGGAAGGCTGGAGATGGAGCCGGCCTGGAGACCGCATCCTTGATATAGGTGAGATTATTTCATTATGGTTCCCATAAAGTGTTTGGAGCTAGCTGTGAGCTGCATGAAGGATTTTTCAGAGTTTGCTTTTTTAGAAAAATTGTAATGGTGTGTGCATGTGCAGGGAGGGGTGAAAGAAACCACAGCTGCATTGGTTTAAACTGGATACCTCGTTGGTTGTCTTGGCTTTTCAAATGAGTCTGGTAACTGTATGAAAACTTGGTTGGTTGTCTTCAATTTAATATTTTTAAAATTTTAGGGGTTTTCTTCTACAGATATCCCACTGTCAGTCGGTATCTTAGATCCCAGGGCCAGCCCGACCCAGCTAAACACTGTTGAATTTCTGTGGGATCCGTCCAAAAGAGCATCTGCATTCATTCAGGTAAGGAATGAATGGATTTGCATGCAGTAAATGGAATGGTATGATGGAATAAGGATACACAGAGACTGAAAAAGTATCTGAGGTGTGGGAAAGAAATATACTAAGGAAAATACCCATGCTCCATCGATGAGTGTGTGCATTGATGTCCTATTTATAGGATATTCACTTGTGCCAATTTAGCTTTTGGGGGTGGGGCTGCATCTTCTATTCTTAACACATAGCACAGGCCCTGTTGTAGGTAGAATGATCTGTATGTCTCTTTAAATATCCACTCTCCTCTTAAAGATGGGTTTCATTTATGGGGGGGAAAAGGCCATAAACTCTAGTTTTGCAAACACCCCAAATGGCTCAGTGTCTGCAAAATCTCAGACTTCATGGGGCTTTCCCACCCTTAATATCTATTTTTTTTTTTAAATCTGTATGTATGCGACACCAAAGCCTGCTTTTCTATATGTTCAGTTTTTCTCCAGGCTGCTTGTCCTGTCACTCTTCTGAACTCTCTTTATTTTGTTCTGAACTCTTTCTACGTTTCCTCCAGAAAATAAGAGATGGGCCAGAACTAAACTTGAAACCCCCACTTGCATATACGCCTGAACTTTGGGGGCTTGAAATTCAGATCTTTTGCAACTTTGAGCCATCACTAGTTATAAAGACAGCTTCTGTTTCGCCAGGTACATTGTATCAGCACAGAATTTACGCCAAGGAAACATGGTGGAGAGAAAGGGGTGCCCTTCAGGATACAAATCGACACATTTAAACAGAATGAGAATGGCGAATATACCGAACACTTGCATTCTGCAAGCTGCCAGATCAAAGTGTTCAAGGTATGGGCTAGTTCGGTTTTCCCAAATTCTCTCTGGAGTTCGAGACACGGGGAATATTGCTCTTGTTGTGTGCAAGGTTTTAAAAATGTTTGTTAGTATTTCAGGCATTACAATAAAGCAAAAGAATAAAGGTATTAAACAGGTGCGCTTGTACTCTTATCAGTAGTACCCGTTATGGAAAAGGCACAACATCCTAGCAACAGAGATCTCAAAGTGCACTGCACAGCTAACTACGTTCGGTGGACCGGCTTCATGCACTCAGACCGAGATCTGCCCAGATCTCAGTCCTTTCTGTTCTCTGGATTTTTAAACAATCAACTCTGCTTGGAGGGGCTCACAGCTCCTTAGAGCTCTCATATCAGAGTCTCTTCAACCGTAAAAGATATTGCTCATTGAGTCACCAATAGCGGGAAAGAATTAGCCATAGAGATGGTCCGTATATTCTACCTGTTCCAGTCCCGGCACTTGGTAACTTCTGTCACTGCCTGTTAAGATACCAAAGCCAACCTTTGCTCTATTACAGTGGTCCCCAACTTGTTCCATGGGGCGGGTGCCGGATGACTAGCCGCCGAGGACCATAGCTGCTGGACAAGCAGCCACCGAAATGCCGCCGTGAAGCGGCAATGTCAAGAGGCGTCATCGCCAAAATGCCGCCAAAATTCGGTGGCATTTTGGCGGTAGCGCTTCTTGACCTTGCCGCTTCTTGGAATCTGGCTCCTTTTTTAGTTTAGTTAGTTTTTAGTTAGCTCTTCCTGAGTAGCGGAGGAGAATAACGACTCCCTAGACTACCCTCAGATAAGCCCTCGAGAAGGGCCTTAAATGTTGCAAGTAGTTCTCCTCTATGCCACACAATGGAGAGGAAGATGGGCAACCTAGTTCTCGGTCTCTGTTCATGTCTGAAGCTTTTTGGCAAACCTGGAACGAGCAGGTACTTGAATCCATTTTGGGACGGGTGATCAGGGTTTCGGTTAGATCTGAATCTAAACTTCCCCATAGACTGGTGGGGAGCATGGAGGCTGGATTTGGTGATCCACTCTGACCCCTCTTTAGTTTTCATAACATCTATAGTCCCTGGAGAAATAACACAGGTGTTCATTGAAGTGTGTTTCTCCATCAGAGATTCAGGCTCTAAAATAGTATCAAATCCTGTGAAAGCAAACAGCTTGTGTAGCACTCAACATGTTTAGGAAATGCTACAGGCATGACAATATTAACAAAGGATGTTGTAGATCCAGTAGAGGTTTTTCTATGAACTGCTGCTTGGAAAATAGAGGCCTTGTCCTGCCCTTCTTTCATGTATAGAAAGCCCATTGCTGTCAATGAGGCTTTTGTGCACAGATCAGATGAAACCTATGGCCCCCTGTTACCCACCCTGTGAAGCGAGGCATAAGGAAAAGCTTGTGCTCTGTGCTTCTAGCCTAAGGGAGCTGACAGAAAGCAGAAAACTGACAGAGAGAAAATGGAGAAGAAGACTGCCCAAGAGAAGGAGAAATACCAGCCCTCCTATGATACGACCATTCTCACAGAGGTAAGATCCTTCAGTCATGTACAGCACACTGGTTTAATATGTCGGGCCACACACTTAAAATGACAAAAGGAATGACTTCTGCCCTGGGTTGAATGAGTTTGTGGGGATCCACTCGGCAAGGTCTCATTGAGACTGAGAGCTTAATGAAACTATATAAAAGGGATTAGACGTTTCATAAGAAGCTATATTAGATGGAACTAAAGTTTATAAGGAATATTGGACCCTTGTGCTTTAGAGCATAAACCAGCCATTAACTGGGTTAAGGAGCGATTGTCTTTCACCTCCCACCACCCCCTGAACTGTCCCCTCCAAATAAGTGTCCCATACATGTGGCTTACACTTTCCTCTGAACCATCTGGTACTGGGTGGAGTCAAAGACAGGATGCTGGAAGAGATGGTCTGATCCAATTGGCAATTCCTTTTCCTTCATGGATGTCCTTTAGAACAAGCCATTATAGTGAGCTTGGTCTTTGCTAGCTTCACTCTACAATGGGCTCACGTTTGAAGAATGTTGTGTGTGAGGTATGGGTCATATGAGATCTACTTTTTCTTCTTTTTAACATCATGATTACACTGTGCACTAAAGCTTGTGCATAACCCGTATTGGGCTGCAGAAGCACCAGCCAAGGGCACCTCTATAATCTGTTTAGGAGTCAGGTACCACCTTCCTTATGGGAATGTTCTACAGGCTGGCATTTTAGTCCTGGAACTGCCGCTGAGGGGAAGATCAAGTTTTTTTATTTAAACAATGTCTCACTGGAACTCCTTAAGACGATTTAATTTTCTTTTTGCTTGTTTTAAATAAGCTCTCCCCATTCCCTAGGAGAACAGTTTTTGGTCTATAGTTACTTGGAATAATCAAATACCATATAATTTGTCCTATAATCTAGTAGCCTTTGCTAGCAAGACCCGGCTGTGCAGAGAAACCTAATCCTACAGCATGGGCAGATACAGAGCTCTTGCTGTGAGTACCAGTGCACTTCAACATATTGAATCAGGAAATCCTCTAGCCCTGGTTGCCAACGAGTTAAATATTTGTTTAAAGCTGTGTTTGTGGAGGTGATAAAACTCCAAGAATTCCACAGATTGTCTCCTGCTTTATCACTGCAAACAGGGACACTGCATAGTATAGTCATGGGCTCTTAACAGGTTGACTACAGGGCCAGATTCTGTTGTTGTTGTTGTTGTTGTTCTGGATTTACATCACTGTAACCAACTCCATTGGCTTCAGTAAAGTTACTTTGGATTTACACCAGTGGAACTGAGTGTGGAATCAGGCCTATGTTTGCAGTGGTTTTTGGTAGCCTTTTGTGTGCCTGCCTTAGGTTTTCCTATAGCCTGTATTTATAAACTTGACTTCCTTTGTTGCTACCAGGCCAAATTCTGCTCTCACGCTGGTATAAACCTGACGTAACTCCACTGACGTGCCTGTGGCTCATCTAATTAGTCATTCTAGTCTGGAGTTACTTGGGATTTATAATTGAGACCAGAATCTGGCAGCTGGGAAATTTCTGTATTGCGGGCCAAATCCTGCCTTCAGTGAGAACTGATTTATAGGTGTTGCCCAGATGTAAGGAAGAGCACAGTTTGGCTCAGTGTTAGTTTGGGACAGGCTTTCTGAAAAGGAATATATGGAGAAAGCACAATTAGAACTAATTTGGGACCGCCTCAGTCCTCTTGCAATGCAGAGTATAGATCACTAAGCCTGCTCCTCCTTTCAGCAGGGGTAATTTGCTGACCTTAATGGAGTGACAGTGCCATACGTGGTGTGAGGGAAGAATCAGGCCCCCTATTTAAGCCTGCTTTGCTCAGTGTCCCCATTGGCTTTGTTTTTAGTGTTCTCCATGGCCAGATTTGCCTTATCAAGTGAACAACGCTCCATCTCCAAGTTACAACAGTTCTCCAAACAGCTTCAGCCTTGGAGATGGGTATGTAATAAATGCTTTCTCTTCTCAGTTGGCGTGTAGCGTGTGTGCGTGCATTGGTTTGATACCGTATAATAGATCAAGAACCAGCTTAGCCTGGAGCTCAGTGCTTATTCCAGCTTTAAAGTCCACTCTTCCCACAAGAATTCCCAGAAGGAACTGGCTGCATTTCCCACCTCCTTGCAGTTTAACGGTCTGATTACGCATTCCCGATCTGTGTGCTGTATTGGGCAGGGGACGGGAATAATATTTTACACTGAGAGACTATGGGATGGTCAGTGAAAGTTCTGCTCTGTACATCAGTGAGGGCAGTGTTAGGTCTTAAGTGTTTTTATAACGGATATCTAGTGTTCTCATTTTAAATTTAATGTATGTAAACAGGCCTGATGATATCTCTGCTCTGCACTGACAGACTTAGGCCCTGTGAGGCAGGGGAAAATATTCAGACTGCAAAAATAGACACTAGCATGCTAGCTGATAACTCTCTTCTGAGCACTCACTCCTATTCAAAGGTAAATCATTAGCTCTATAGGCAAATCTTTAGCATTTTTTTTAAGGCCCAGTCCACCCTGGAGGATAGAACATGTTTGTTTGAAACATGGTTTAAACCAGTTTGGGCTAACACTGTTCAAATACAATTTGCCCTGTTTAAAATAATAACACTGGGGTCAAATCATGGGGTCCTTCTTTACTCCGTTTTTGCGCAGGCAGACTCCTTTGAACATCCCTGGGAGTTTGATGGCTTGGCCTAGGGATGGTAAAATGTTTGTGCCCAGCCTGCATTGGCAGGTCAGACCCTCTTAGCATGATGGTTTGAGGATAGAGACTTGCCCAGTTGAAAAGTTTGAACTCAATGTTTTCCTCCCAATATGTGGGAGACCTGACAGTGCACTCACAGTTGCTGTGATGTTTTGGTTCAGTACAGAGCTTAAGGGGCCTGATCATGCCCTCAGTTGCACCTCTGCAAACTCCAGTGAAGCCAATGGGAGTGCATGTGTGCAACTGATCATATGGTTCAGGGTCAAGGTTCGCTTTATTCTATAAATGTGACATTTAGGAGTAAACATGTTTTGCTTTCTGCAACCTGCTGAAGATTAATTCCATGCTAGTAGGATTATTAAATCTGATGGACCTCTCTTCCCTTCACTTCCCTCCACCACTTTTCCTTGGCACACATTCCTCTCAAGGAGTTAATGCAAGATCTTGCAGAGAGGGATTAGAAGGCACTAACTTTTTTCCTCCCACAAAGTCCATCTGCTTTCCATCCAGATGGATTTGTAAAGCAACATCAAAGGGGCAATGTCAATGGAAGTTTACTTGCAGAATTTTGCCCAAACTGATTTAAAAAATAACTGATCCAATCAGGGGGGGAAAATGTCAACTTGACATAAAATTCTTGACAGTCAAGACAAGGGGTTGGGGGGTGGGGAAAGACAACCAACAATTTTCAATGTCAATTTTAAAATAACGTTTTTTTCTCTCCCTGCTTTATACAATTTTTTAGCAACAGTTCTCCAACCCACCAAGTGGAGCTCCTGCCTCCCAGCAACGATGTAAGTATTTGAGATCATGTTAATGTGGTGCTTTTCTTTTTTTAGGACACTGCTGAGCAGTTCATTTCAAGACCCTCTTATTCTTTTTGCAATGTAGCACCTCCTTCCCTCTGCTTCTATTCAAGATGTCCAGCAGTGGCTTCATCGTAATAGGTTTTCTCCATTCTGTAGACTCTTCTCAAGTTTCTCGGGTGAGTTTAAGTGGTCCGTGTTTTTGTTTTGTTTTTCTGGTACAAGCGTGGATCATTCTTTGGAGGTTGGTAGCGTTTGTCAAAGAAAATGGTGAGCTGGGGTTTGGACGAACCCTAAAAAAGTTTGGTCAGGGTTTCCAAAACTGGATGCCTAAAGTTAAGTTCCTAAGTCCCTATATAATCTTAATCGGAGCTGCTTAAATATTCAGCACTTGTGTGAACTGGGCCACTCATTTAGGTGCCAAAATCTGGGCTTTGAAGTCTAATTTTGGGCAACTTGGTTTTGAAAATCTCGGTCACTGAAATTCTACTCTCTCTCATTGGTGCATGAAATGTGCATGGGTTGTTCCAATTTAAGCTAACTTTCATCATGCATTCGAGGAAGGAACTGACCGTGAATATCTGAAAGGTACATACTAGGAGGCGACACACTTTGTAGCTTGAGAAGGCTGAGCTTATTGGACATATCGGGGCTCCTTGGTTCCCTCTGTCTCCCCACCTACAAGCTCCCTGTGGGGCAACCTCCCAACTCCTTCTGTTTCAGGGACTCTCTGCAACTTCTCTCCTCATCTCCCTTCCTCCCCACCCTGACAGGGGTTCTGTGTGCCTCCCATTTTCCCCTCTCTCATATCAGGGTCACCCACTTCCCTCCTCCCCACCCCGTATGCTAGTAGCTCTGTGTGCACCTCTTTTCCAACCTTCCCTCCAATATGAGGGGCTCTGTGTGCCTCCCGTGCAATCCTCCATTCTCCCCCCACGTGCCAGTGCCTGTGTGTACACCCCATTTCTCCCCTTCCCCACCATTGCTAATCTGGGAGATAAATCCATTCAGTTTGTCAAGGTGTCAATGAGTCCAACTCTATTAGGAGGCTGGGGAGAGGTTGGGAATTGTTATGCTGGATGGTATTAATGGGTGCCATCAATCTGATGTTTGATCTAGAGATAATTGCGGAGATGTTTGAAGTTGTGGCTGTGGTAATCAGAAGGCAGGGGCTCCATGTGTCCCCCATTTCCCCAAAAATCAATAGGGGAAATCCAATATCCATTGTTGCCTAGTACTTTCTCCAGAGAGACCAGGTGGGTGAGGTGTAATCTCTCTTATTGGACCAACTTCAGTTAGTGAGAGAGACAAGAACTTGTCTCTCTCACCAACCGAAGTTGGTCCAATAAGAGAGATTACACCTCACCCACCTTTTCTTTCCAATATTCTGGGACTGAATATCATGGCCCCAACAATGCTGAATAGCATGTTCTCTGAAACATTTAAATTGGTCAGATGAGGCATTCAAAAGTTATGTTGCAGACAGACAAACAGAAATGTCATCAAGTTGAGTTTAAGACCTCCACAATTTTGGTCAACAAGAAGACATTTTAAAATGTCCCTGTGCAGCAGGAAAGCTAGGTCTTCTACTCATGACCAGCCCTAGCCATCTAGGGCAGCAAGGGTTGCATGGCCAAATTCTGTTTCGTGTTACTCCATTAAAACCACATTGACGTGTGTAGTTGAGAGCAGATTTTGGTCCACTGACCAGGAACTCAATCTAGCTTGTGCATGTGGCAGTTGAAAGCACTTCCTCTGGACTACTGCTCATTATTGGCCATTCTGTGGACTTGCAGAAAATCTGTTGTGAAGGGATCGATTGCAGTGCACACCCTGGGAATGTTAACTGTTCATCCAGCATCTCTTAACTGGTCCAGCTGTACATGTTTCGGATGATTTGGAAGCTCTTTTGTTTTGTTTAACCTCTAAAAATAACCTCGAAATGTCTAGGTGCTGACTTACTGAAGATGTCCAAAGAAGATTTTGTTCAGATCTGTGGGCCTGCTGATGGAATTCGGCTCTTTAATGCAATCAAAGGAAGGTTTGTACCTATCTCTTCCAGATACTGCTATTGCGGCCTCCATTGGTGCTTCCAGTGTTAATTCAGTGTCTCTGGTTACAGCGCCTCTGTAAAGTCCTCGAAGTAGGTCTCCTTAGAGTCTGCTTGGCTCAGGGGGTTGGCAGTGGGCTATTCACCCTAAGGTATGGGTTTGAATACTGCCTCGGTCAGAGATGAGTGAAAAGTCATTAGCATAATGTGGTTTTCAGTGGTCTGTTTGGAATCAGTTAGTGGTCTCAATGTGTTTCCCAGTAGAGACATGTTCACACCCATCTGGTACCTGTGTTGCCTGTCTCAGCAGAAACCAAGGTTTGAATGGACTAAAAAGACACAGCCCACAAATGCCTCTTAACCCTCATCAGGAGGCAGTGGCTACACTCACTAACCAACCGGGCTGGGTTCAGGTCAGTAACTGAGGGCTTTAGCCTTCTATGTACTAAGGGCCTCCTGTGTGGTGCTGAACACCCTCAATCTTATTTGCTTCATAGGAGTCGAGTCTGCTCAGCACCAATTCCATCATCTCCCAGGGTTAGGAAGCTTCTGTTACCAAATCTCCTGGCACATCTCCTCTCCTCTGCAACACTAATGTCAAGATTCTCCTTAACTGCTTTTTATGTACTACCCAAATGAGTCCACCACAGCTGTTCCAGTGCATTGTGGACCGGTTCACACCAACAACACCGTCTAATAACAAAGAATTTCGCTTTTGTTTTTAAACCCATAGAAACGTAAGGCCTAAAATGACAATTTATGTCTGTCAAGAACCAGAGCAGAACAGGTCTCATCTGCACCAAAAACGAGAGAATGGAGATGGTAATCTGTGTGGTAAGTTTCCTGACCTCTGCTCCCATAAGTGCTAGTCTGATGAGATGCGTTGGTTCTGAACTCCACATCTGACTGCTCCATGTCTGAAAAGTTAACACAGGTTCACCCCAGCTGTAATTCCACTAGGTTGGCTTCAGCTCCACAAGGGCATGGAGCACAGACAGCATCCTGCCTGCCACAGAGATGCAACTTGTGCTGACTTGAGGGTTATTCAGGAAAGGCGGGTGATGTTTGCACTGCCACCCTCCCTCAAGGGAGCCATCAACACAGGGCAGTTTCTGCTAGTGGCTCCACAGTAGCCCCTACAATGGAATGCCACGGAGGAGACCAATTGAATCAGTGCATCCTCTCCCAGCTGTCCTGGCCATGCCCTCTCTCAAGCCGGCCCTGCCCACTTCAGGGGTTCTCCATGGCCCCCTTCAAGCCCTTTGATGGAAGGGAGATTGTGGCCCCTTTACCCTTCTAAAAATCAACATTGTCAAACGTTACCACCCATTGGTATCTGATCTACTGCAGTTATCACCTCACATGTAAAATGGGAAGTAACTGATAACACCATATAGGAGATGTTGACTTTTTAATGGCAAGCATTGTACTTTAGGCAACTGTTTCAGTTAATAGAATTTGAAGAACAGATGCAAGACTCTGCCCTTTTGAGAATGGCACATGCAGAAATGCCAGAGGGTAGTGGAGCCTGGAGGATAGGCCTCAGGAGATCCAGGTTCTGTTCTGGGCTCTGCTTCGAGATCTATGCATGCAAAGAACTACACGTGTGCTAGGCTTTTTTCTTATAATATAGAAACTCATTCATCTTCCTGTAGCTCAAACTAATTCTCTTTCAGATGTATCCAAAGTGCCAAAATGGGGTCAGCAGAATCAAACGATTCTCTAAGAAAATCAACTAGCACTCGTATAAAGGGGGTTTCATTTAGTGTCTTGTGATGTGTGGTTTTATTGGCAGTTCTTGAGTCTTTCTGCAGGCAAATCTGGGCCAAAACGTATCTAGATTTTCCTTGCATTCTTACATGCAGAGAAATAAATATTAGCCATTTTGGGGCAGATCCTTAGCTGGTATAAATTGGTGCTACTTCAAAGGCACTATGCTAACTTACACCAGCTCCAGATCTAGCGCTTGATCTTTTCTATCCAATTCATTCATTGAAGTCAAGCTTTTTGGTTGTATGTATAAAGGCTTGTTTCCCTTAATTATTGCAGTATATCATGCAGTCTTCTTGGAAGAGCTGACAACCCTGGAATTAATTGAGAAGATTGCAAACTTGTATAGCATTTCCCCACAGCAGATAAATCGGATCTATCGGCAAGGACCTACAGGGATCCATGTATTAGTGAGCAATGAGGTAAGGGGCTAAAGCAAACACATCTGGTATGAAGTATCAGAGTTCAAGACAGCTGCCTGACTCTTTCTTTCTTTTCTTATAGTTAGGCTGACCTTTAAAACTATGTAAGAGTCTCCAAGGGAACTAGTCGAGATTACTAAGCCTAAAAAATTTGTTTAACTATCACACTTGTCCAAGATATTTTTGAGTCTTAAATCAAAGAATTCAGCCATACAACTCTCCTTTTTTCTCCTTAAGAGAAGTTCCTTTTAAGTGATATTTGCTGTCGCATGAAATATATCTTAATTCCAATGAATGAGTGAATTTCAAAAGTGGTAACTTTTTGGGTACCAGATCTGAAAATCAGACTCTTTAAGGTTGGGCACCCGGAAATCACTTGCCAGTCACTCTTCCGTCTTAGCCAATGGCTGCAGACATTGAGCGAAAGCCATTGCTTTCTAGGTGTATGTAACAAAGTCCCTGAATTCTCGGCAGTTCCCTGCTTACACAAGCACTTCATAGTGAATTGCCCCACTCTTCTTTCTTTCTCTAAATGACTTACTCTTTTCATGCACCAGAATCACTTAAGGAGCTTCATTTAGATGGACTGGCCCTACACCTGAAAGGAACGTTGTTAAAGCAAACGAAGCAGAGAGCGGGACTCAAATGGGGCCTAAATTTAAGCCTGTAATGCGTACTCTGAAAGTCTCCTTGCCATTTCACCCCGATTAAATCAGAAACTTTCAGCGTTTAATAAGCATGAAGTGCTTTGAGGCAACCTGTGAGGGAGGGAATTGCCTCAACTACCTCTGGTGTGAGGGGCCTTAATTAAATACTTAAGTTACTTATTAACAATATCTATTACTTTATTTTTGGTCTTTTGTGCTCTAGTGGCAGAGAGGCACAAGTGATGCAAAGGAGAGGCACTGAGTTAATGTACTTCATGCATCATTAGGTGCACACACACCCAGTGCAGTGAAGTCTAATTTGGGGTGGGCGGGGGGAGAGAGAGAGAGAGTAGGGGAGTTAACTTAGCCTGAGGGGAACCAGAGGTGGAAAGGGAGCTTAGCATGAGAACTTCAAGAGAATGGAAGTGGAATTGCTCTGCTTGCCACTGGGGTCAAGTTTAAACAGGTAGGGGCCAGATTTTCAAGTGCTCAGCACACAATGGGAGCTAAAGTCTCAAAAGAGCTCAAAAAGTTAGGCACTTAACTGCCTTCCAAGCTCTGGGCCTCAGCTCCCGTTGTAACACTTTTCCAGAGGAGCTCATCACTCTGCCCAACCTGATCAGTTATTTGGGGATTTAAATGGAAGCTGGACTTTTCTTTAAAATCTGTTTGCTTCTCATGAGTAACTAGCTCTGCTTAGGTTAGCTACTAACCCTACCAGCAGAGATCTCACTCTTCTCTTTGAGTTTCTCATATGATTTTGGTCAAGGTGTATGTGTATTGTCTACTTGCAGAGAGGAAGAAACAGGCAAATGTTACATGTAAGCAAAGTAATCCGATGTATGCTGTCTAGCTTATTTTATTTAAGGACATTAATGATATTCCGTATGTACAGGAAGGACTCCATTTTTCCTTTTTTTAGGAGCAAACATCCTCTCATATTCAAAAGAATGAAATGATAGCAATGATCTACTCTTAACTGAGCGGCGTCCTTTCATTGGACAAATATTTCACTAGTAAACTAGACTTTAAAAGAAGGAACCATATCTCAGCAATTGTAAATCGGCATAGTTCCATTGAAATCAATGGAACTATACCAGCTTAGGATATGATCCATGACTTTTAACTTCCTGATAGTAAGATCTGTGGCCCTTGTCAGGCCTTGTTGACTTTAAAGGGTGTTTGCCACTGACTTTAGTGGTGCGAGATCAGGCCTTGTTGGAGAGGGACAATAGTCTCCCCAAGGAAGTTATAGAAGCCCTGGTGCTTGGGACACTTAAAAATAGACTGGTGAAAAACTAGTAAATGTATAATAAGCCTGCATGACGATCCTGACCCCACCTGATGTAAATTGGCCTAAACCTGCTGAAGTCAATGGAGGTAGGCCAGTTTAAGGGCCAGACCCTCACCCGATCTAGAGTGGGGATGCACTGGGTGACTTGATGTAGCAGAAAAAAATGAATTTGTGTGGTAATCTTTGGACTCGATCCTGCAAATGAGGAGCACTATAGATCTGATCCAGAAAAACACTTAAGCATGAGTTAGTCCCATTGGCTTTAATGGACTACTCCTATATTCAGTTGCTTTGCTGTATTGGGGCAAAATGCTCAGTGCTTTGTAAGATCTGATGCTCAGTTGATTGACCTTCCCTTTAAAAGTTCTATTGAGCATTGAATTAAAACTTGTTGTGCTCAAAATGTTAAGACATCAACTGTTATGAAGAATTTTTGTTCTTGTTTTTTTTCCCTGCCATTCAGATGGTGCAAAACTTCCAGGATGAGTCTTGTTTTGTTATCAGCACATTAAAAGGTATGCTATTCTGATGCTACTTACCGTTTTATACTATTGCTTTCAACTGCCTAAGAACTTCAGGGAAAGAATGGTGGGGGGGGGGGATTGAGAAATGGAAAGGTGGGATATGGCAGATATAAATAACCAAAAGTTCTGTAAATGAAACTTTGGTTTCCTTTGTTGGCCATGTAAATTTAAGTAATGTGTAGCAAATAACACTGCAAAAGTCAAATGCATTAATCGACTAAAATATCTCCCATCCCCATTTAAATCCATATTCTGATAAGCGTAGACATAACTGAGGTGTAAAGTAATTATTCCTCTTAATGAAGGATTTTATTTTATGAAGAACCACTGTATCCTCTGAGATAAGAATCTGAGAGTGAGTATACAGGTAAATGAAACCTCAGACTAACTTCTTCATGAAGCATTTGAAGCCTTGAATCCCTTCTAAGCTATCTGGAAAAGGTTGACTTTTTCTGATTTGCATCTCTAGCATCAAGCACAACTGGAGTGGTAGCTGAATGCATAAAAATAAGTACTAGGGCCAAATTCTGCCCTCCCTTATACCAGTGTAAATCTGAAACTAAATTCTGCTCTGTTACATTGAATTTAGGTGGATTCTAAAGCCACTGAATTCAAAGGCCCAAACCTCAATTGGTGTAAACCATCTTAGCTCCATGGAAGCCAATTTTCAGTAGATGAGGATCTCGCCCATATTCTCTGTTTATACTGGTGCCAATTTGGCATAAGTCCATTGACATCACTAGTGTAAATTATCAGAATTTAGCCTTAATCGCCTATTAGAATCATTTTAAAAAATGCTTTTGTATGAACGTTCAGTATTAATCCTTATTAATTAGTTATGGTAGCAGAGTGTAAGCTGCATTAGAGGAAAGACCAGAATGTTACATTTCTTCATCTTCTTTATATAAAATAGATCGCAATAATCTTTGCACTGAAAAGCATTTTGCTATTACAGCTGAAAGCAACGATGGCTACCACATCATTTTAAAATGACCACTTGGCCTAGCAGGACTGTAACAGCCTAAAACTACGATGCCTCACCAAGATTGCTGCAACCCAGACTGGAAACATGAAGATCCATTTGGATAAAGCGCTCCCATGAACTGAAAAATACCAAAGGTCTTAAGGAAAAACAAACTTCGTAGACAAGTGGTTTTCTGAGAATGGAGATGAGAATATCTTCAGAGCGTCTGTGTATTTTTCTACCCCTTCCCTCCTATTTAGGCTTTTAAATTGTTGAGGGTCCTGCTTATTGCTCAGATACATCTGCCTTTTTCTAAAGGGAAATGCAAAACGAAAAGCAATTCTCATGGCTGGAACTGGTTTATCTACAGTGCCTTCTGAGTACTCTTGCATTCAGCACCAGTCTCATCTCAGATACAAGCTATTATCCTCTTTCTAGACAGAGGACTATAGGTGGGATCCACGAACGGGCGTAGGTGTAACAACATTGAGTGTCATAGTGCCTAGAAAATCCCTGGAACAACATTGCGAGCCACAAAGCCAATTTAGACACCTTGGCTCCCTGTACAATGAATGGGGAGAGATAGGCACCTTTGACTGCGATCCACAAAGTCAACACGCTGCATGGAGGCACCTATCTTGGCTAGTGATCCACAAACTGGAGGAACACAGGTGTTTGGCTGCCCGTGTGGGACCCAAAACATAACAGCTGTGGGGAGGGGAGAAAAACTTCCCTTATCGTTAGCCTGGTGGATAGGGTACACTCATAGGATGTGGGAGATCCCCAGTGCAAGTGCCCCCCCCCCCTCATCCTGAGGGGTAGAAACATGGAAGATCCCTGTTCAGATTCTCTCAATGTGAGGTCCCTAGCCACTAGGCTATGGAAAATTCTGAGGTGAGGTTCCCTCAGTTTCTCCTATTGAAGTTGTTCCATTGTTTAATTTAAAGTGGAATCTTTAGATGCCTAAGTCTGCTTGTTTTCTGGCCCAATTAATATTTAAGTATCTGCATGCATCCCGTCCTGTGTTCCTATAACCAGTCAGTTATGGCTGTTTGTGATTCACACTGCATTGTTCTATCTTTCCTCTTTAAAAAAACAACCAACCAACACTTTCCTCTCCTTCTCAGTGCCCCTGGTGAGCATTTCGTCCTGCTGCCTTCCCATTCAATTTGACAACACAGCAGATACTGGGCTAATTTCCATTTTTGGTACCCTGCTAAGCTTTCTCTAGACCTCTTCTCCAGCTGCCCCCTCTCTTTTTTTCACTCAGCTGTAAGACCTGCGTAGCTACATCTGTTCCACTGTTGCTACTAGAGGTGAATGTGTATTGTTCCATTTTAGCATGCTGCCAGAAGGACTCCACATGGATGGAAATGTACACACATACAATCCAATGATTTTTTTTTTGGAGGATGCAAATGAGGACAAATCAAGGCGAACAATTCACACTATATTTTTTTAGCTTAGAATAGCTTCAGTCAAGTGCATTGTGTTTTGAGAATGACTTTAAATCTCTTGACAACTTAACTCTGGATTTATTCCATTCAACGAAAGTTTTTGGTAACTGATACTTGCTGTAAATGTTAGGTTTTAGTTGTGGTAGCTTCTGTTTTCTACATAAGCTATCTGCTGTAGCAAATGCAATCAAGTATCAGGGGGTAGCCGTGTTAGTTTATGCAATCAGTTTATTTGAATCTAAGATCAGGTAAGGGGGCATTCCGAATACTTGCTCCTCGCATACATCTGCTGTGTCATTCTTGCTTCCTGTTCGCATGCCTGTATCTACCATTCTCCTTTTCATCTTTATGGGCCTGATCTGGCTCCCATTGATTTCAATTGACGCTGGATCAGGCCCTTGTTGCATTTCACTCTTTTTGGTGGCTAATTAGGAGAGCTGATTGAAAATGAGAATTTCTTTCCTGTGGGCAATTGAGACTTTGCCATTTGTTTTTTTTGCCCTGAGTTGGTCTGAACAGTTGAAATACAAAACGTTTCACAGGATGAAAAGTTTTGAAAAACAGCCGTTTTGGAAATGTTGAAACCAAACATTTCAAATTGGAAGTGTCAAAACATTGTCAAAATGAGCTGTAGTTCAGGTGCCTCCTGCTCCACTTCTCCCCTGTGGGCTGGACTCCAGTTCCCATGATGCATTGTGTAGTAGCTTAGCCAGTGGGGGTGGAGTGGGAGGTGTGCGTGGCGGCGTAGTGCATTATGGAAGATGTAATGTGGGATGGAGTCCAGCCCACAGAGGAAAATGGGGATACAGGGCACTCTGGTAGATTGATTAATTTCTAATGGACACGCAACAATTTTTTAATTTTTTTTTCAAATAAATAAAATAAAATAAAATGCGGGGGGGCGGGGGAGAGAATCAACATTTTCCAATGGAAAGGTGTTTCTGTTAAAAAAAACAAACAAAAAAACCCTGCCTCTTCCTGTCCCCCCACCCCTCCCAATAAACAGTTACTACAGATATTTCCCAGCCTTCTCTGCTAATTAACATTTCAAATACAGGCCCTACTCTTGCCCAATTGGCTGCTTTGTACGCTGCCCCAGCTGAAACTTTGTGCAGAAAGGTGGCCAAAACTCTGGTTGAATGAATTTTATTCAAATTGGAGCAGGGAACTTTACTTGTGCCCCTTGTTTCCTGGGTGCAAGATCTGAGCCCCGTAGTTCTATCAGTCTGAGTGCTCCATTCCCTGATATGGACCCCTTGATTAAGATGAAGTGTGAATCCGAGGCAGTGCCGCAGAACTTCTCTGGGCACAAGTCAGGGGGACGGAATGTCTTTGATTTTGAAATGAAATGTCCTATAGTTAGTGATACAACTTTTATGTATCGAAATGCCCTAACTTGTGAAGGAATAACTATAGTTCTACTGGGATTACACTGACTCAATGGGACGCTTGGGAGACTGCACTTGCCTAACGAAAACCTATCTGTACAAATCTGTGTAGGTGCATCCTGGCTATAATGGTGCATTTTAAGAACTTCCTGCTGCCCGATTTCAGGGCTACTGGGGTTTTATAGAACGCCTACATAGACAGGTTATTAATATATTATGTCCTAAAGGCTATATGGGAATTTGCATTGACTAAAAAGATCTTGCTGTATAATCCACAGACTATGCTGTGATGGATGCATAGACCAAAAATCCTTATCAATACACTGCCAATGCATATAGGGACACCAGTCAGAGCAATATCTTTGGGTCAAATCTAGGAGCATGATGCAGGCAAACCTCCCACTGCAGTTATGGATGTTTTGCCTGAGTAAAGACTGAGCAAAGACTTCAGATTTTGTCCTCTTGGCTGTTCTGTATGTGTGTTAAATGTCTAAAGGAAAAAATCTCCACTATGCTCAAATTACTTTAGAATAACTTAGTTTTAATGTATAGCAGATTTGGAATCTATAGAAGTGCCTAAACGTCTGAAACCTGTTGTGATTTTGCCCTCTCTGATGTGCTTTTAAACTGGAACCAAAGCCCTGCTTCAGTCTCTCAGGAGAATGAGATTTCTGTAGTTTGCCTCTCTCCAGCTTTTTGTCCAGAATGTGTACAGTAGAACTTTAGATTCCTGGAGGTTCTAATGAAACCACACATTGTATCCTGAATGGTCGTGGGATCTGCAACAGTCACAATGCAATCTCTGGCTCAGAGCGGGATAGATGGGTGTGAATGAAAGCAATTTGGCACCTCCCAGCGTGTAACAAGGCACGAACATATTCCCAAAACAGAGCAACAGCTGAATTTATTTAACAAATCACCTTATCGACCGGCATACAGGAGTAAGTGTGTTGGGACAATTAATGCCTAATTGGCGGTGGTTAGAGAAGTCTTGAAAGCACCTAAATATGCATCTATTCAGCTTCTGGAGGAAAAGGTACAAATGTGCTGATTTGAATGAGTACCTTCCTCTTAAAATGAGACAGTTGCTGTTAGACAAAATGCAAACTCCACTTGCTTCCCCAGGTACTCACTCCTTGTTATGTTAATTGGCCAGAATTTAAACAGTCTGAGATGTCTCCTGATGCTTTTCAGACTTGGCTCTAGTTGTATTGAGTGGGATCTAACTGGGTATAAAATCTCACGCTAAACACATTGAAGAATATCTGGGTTTTTTTTTTAAATCTATGGAGGGCAATTTCCTAATAATGTAATATATATACTATCCTGTGTATATTGACATGTATATGAGCTAGGTATTTGCTGTGTCCTTTGGCTTTAGTTGGCATTCTGCTTTGTTTAATTTCTATTCACTGTAATGAACTCTGGTTGATCAAGCGTAGAGACCCAACTGGTCCCATTGGGTAGAAATTTAAAAGTATGTAATCATTGCTGTGGTTTGAATTAAGCTTGGTACGCTTGAAATTTGATGCGTTTCTATGGTATAAACAGTGCCTTGGTAAAGACAACCATATTTTTATACTAATTCTGTTACTCTATATTGTAGCTTCTGGAAGACTGAGTTAAATACAGTTTTAAAAAAATAGATTGGGCAAAGCTTTGGAATAAAAGCTATTCCCTGAGCGGAACAACCACACAGCAACTATGATAGCTTGATGATGTATTGCTTAAATGTTTTGTTGTAATTCCAACAATCCTCCAAAGGATCACAGTGCTAGGGGTTTCATTTGACTGTACTTTCAAAGAAATGCTTGCTCAGATTGTGATTATTTTCTTCCTCCTTCAGCTATGAAACGAAATGGTTAACTTTCTGCATAATAAGCCAATACTCCTTAATACTTTGCTAAGATTATGATACAGCACAATGTACTCTGAGTGGGGCAAAAGTTGTACTGGGATTGGTATCTTTTCTATGGATGCAGATGAAAAGGCAGACTGGGCGTATATTTTAATTCACCCGTCTGTTTAAAAATGGGTTAAGATAGTGCCTAATTTTCTGTGCATTTCAGATTTGTACCTTTTTTTGGTAATTCCCTAAAATTTGTTCAGCTCTCGCCCCCCCCCCTCCTCTCCCCCAAGGTTTTTCAGGGTTTTTTTTTTTAATGGCTTGTATTTCTCTAAATTTAAAGTTGTTTTCCCAGTTTGCTTGGGGTAGGTGTTTTTCTTTCCAAGGGCTATGGGAGTCCCCTCTCTTCGCTGACAATGCAGCCATTGACCAGTAAGTCTGTGATTAGCAAAGGGTGAATGGAGGTGGTTAGAATAGAGGCTGAGGCATACCAGTTGTGAGTAATACTGCCACACCTTTTTGTTTTTGTTTTTTGTACGTGAAATAAAAAGCATATTTTGCACTGGCTATTGTACTGTTGTGCAGAAGAAAAGAAATCTGTATCTAGAATCTGTGCTCCAGTCAAAATGCAAATAAACTTGTTTGTAAGAAATATTTTGTCTGATGAAATATATTGTCCTTTAAACTTGGGTTGAGGCGGATGGTCCTTTTCGCTGTGGAAGGATGTCTTGTGGCACCGTTAACAGACGGCACTATCAGTTTGCCAGGCAAAGGCCTAGATTTATCTCCCAGCCTGAGCTCAGCTCTGTGTAGGGACCAAAGGTTTGATCCTGCTATGTGCTGATTGCTCTAGCCCTTCGGTGCTTTGCCTGAACAGGGCCAAAATGTTTGCAGGGTTGAGCCTGGAAGGAGTGGGCAAAGTTGGGTTTGTTACCATCACTCTTCTGCTATGCTTAGGGTTGCTCCTCTGCTGGGGTTGCTCTAACTTCACCCGGCTGCCAAAAGTCTCTATGCCCCATTCCAGCAGTGGGGAATAACTGGGCTATAGAAACACTATGGGCCATGCCACCCTTCCCCTTCCTCTTCCCAGGAGCAACCACATGTCTTCTATGCTGGAGGCTCCTGCAGAAGGCAGTGGTGGTTGTGCAGTGTCAGCACATGCTGAAGAAGTGGGTTTTTTACCCACGAAGGCTTATGCCCTAATAAATCGTTGTTTTTGTGGATCCAGACTAACACGGCTACCCCCTGATACTTACGTCAGGGGAACTCCTCAAGGGGTCCTGCGAGTGGTTGGATGCCACTTTATGTAGCTGGAGCCAGTGTCAAGTGGCCACATGGGGCAGCCATTAGTTTGGTCCTGGTGGCCTGGCTCTTCTCTCGCTAGACTGTTTAATGCCGATGACTTAATGCTCTGTGTTTAAAATGCTGTGACGGAAAGGAGCATCAGGTGCCAAATCCTCGGTTGCACCACCCAGAGTCCACCAGTTCCTATTCGCTTAGTGAGCTCTAACCTGCAGTAGAGTGTGGGCCTGCATCCTCCACTTTGAGCTGTTCAAGTTCCATTGCGGGTTGGAGTAGCACATGCACAACCAAGTGACTGGGAGACGGGTGCCCAACGCAGCTCACGAACAGGAGCCGCCTCCTGCAAGGTGCTGACTGTCCACAGTCCATTAAAGACGAGGGGATTGAGGTCCTCCAGAACTGAACCTGAAGGTAGGGAGCTTAGAACCCCATGCGAAGCACCATCGCTATTTGTCAGAGTGCAGGTGTTGGAGAACCACAGTCATGTTAAACTACACTAGGACATTTTGGTTTGTTGCAAACAAAGTTATTTCCTGGGGGCAGGTCTACACTTAAAATGATACAGCGATACGGCTGTAGCGCTTTAGTGAAGACACAGGAGAGCTGCTCCTGTCAGTGTAGTTAATCCACCTCCCTGAGAGGCAGTAGCTATGTTGACGGGAGATGCTCTCCTGTCTACACGGGTGGTTAGGTCGGTATAACTGCATCACTTGGGGGTGGATTTTTCACACCCTTGAGCAATGTAGTTAAACCGATGTAAGTTTATAGCGTAGACCTGGCCAGGGAAATAAAGTGAATCTACAATGTAGCGAAATATTCACATCTAATCTGGGTTGAGGGAGTGGGAAAATATCTTTCATGTAAAAATAATTACAAATACCAAAGTCTTTAATAACAGATCAGTGCTTTCAATCACAGAGCGCACAACATCTGACTTCAGTTTTGTTAATCAATAGATGCAATGGCTTTTTCTCAGTCTTGAGAACCTACGTCCTAAAAGATAAGAGTCCAGCAAAGAAAAAGCATTTGTTTCACTTGTAAAGCCATCTCTCATTTGACAATTCTTATGTGGTGGAACATATTGAAGTGTTGGCAAGAGAGGAGAACCTGAAATTGATCTAGAATCTGTCTTTTAGTGTGTACATTATTAGCTTAGCTGAGCAGTGTCTCTAATAAATATGTATTTGCTGAGCTAACATTGAAACATGGATATATTAATAACAGGCAGTTAGAGAAAACTGTTCCCGAATTGCATACAAATGATGCTTTTCACCAGCCCGAGTAGCAAGAACAAGGCAAAGAGAGAAGAAGCATATCTCCTTCCCTTTGATTCCATCAGGATATCAATTATAATTCCTTGTAGAGTTCTGTTAATTACATACTGCTTGGGATGCTAGCTACGTTTCTTCAAAGGTTGTGGATTTCTAACGTCAGCAGACACTTCCAAGACTCACTCAATGACTCAGCCTGGCATGCAATGTCCGAGAGCAATTTCAATTTGTTCTTTTGACTTCCAGTTAGAAGTATTTGAATTACAAACCTAGGGCTGCATGTGGATGGTGGCACAGAAAACATTACACAAGATTTAGTGATGGCTGCTTCTGAACTGAAAATGATTGGGGCCCCTGATTAGTTCTCCAAAGAGAACTGGAAACGGATATACCACTGCATTCTGAAGGGGGAGGGAGAGGGTTGTCTATACTAGCTGTCTTGTCCTTAAAATTACTCATTGATACTGCCTGTGAGTGCAACTGCAATGGAGTCAGCTGCCAGTCTGTGCCATGGCTCCCATTGTTGAGAAGTTTGAGCCATTCAAAGCAGGGTTATGTAGCAGGAACAGAGACTGCTGCACTGGTGGGGCCCGGCAAGGGCCACCTCTTCCTCCCAGCACCCTTCAGACCCCAGAACTGGGAATGGGAGACCCTCCACAGGCACTTTGCGGGTGCTAGGATCCATGCAGGACCTCCCTTCAACCCCCCCTCCCCGCCCCCGGCCATATGGGCTGCAGAGAGGAGCTGGCCAGAGACTCTACCTGGTATGACAGAAGCAAGCCAAAGCTGGGAATTTCTGTCTGACCTTTGCACATTCCAGTCAAAACTGTAGAGAGTTTGATTTTCTGTCCTGTGCAGGTTTGGCTGTTTGCTCCTTTCTCTTTCCCCTCCCTCAGTCTCTTCATCTTAGCTTCCCTGAACATCTGCCCCAGCCCTCCTACCCTTTTCTCCCCTGCCTTGTTTCCTCTTCCCTTCTAACTTAACCCCCCCACCCCCAAAATCAAGGACCTAACATGACTTTTGCTGCCACCACATTGTTCACTGTCTGTGTTAGACCCCCTCCCCTGGGCTTGTCTTGTCTATTTAGGCAATACTGTCTCATTGTTTCCTTGGTCTGTCTATCCATCTGTTGTCTCTTGTCTTATGTGTAGATTGTCAACTCTTTGGGCAGGGGCTAGCTCTTTGTTCTGTTTGTGCAGCACCTAGCACAGTGGGGTTCTGGTCCATGACTACGACTCCTAGGTGGCATGGTCATACCGTACAAATCATAACATCCCCAGCTGGATTGTCTGCAGGGATTGAACCCAGCACTTCTGGCTCCAAAAGCATAAGCCTCAGCTAAAGGATGAGAACAACTCGCCCAGAAGCAGTTGCAGACTCACCAACCCCTGTCCGTGACCTAGCCAGGAGTGAGTGAGCAGGAAACTCGCATGTAAGCACAGGTTACACTAAGGCTACGTCTCTACTACGCGCTAGGGGTGCAATTCGCCTACTCATGGTTCCCATACTCCCACTAGCTCTCACTGAGCTAGCATGAGCATAAATAACAGGGTAGCGGCAGCAGTGGCATGGCTGAGCTGTGCTGAGCACATACCCCCCCAGTTTCAGGCACGTTTGTACTCTGGACATCTCAACAGTGCCTCTAGTGCCATTAGCACAGCTACACTGCTATTTGTACTCATGCTAGTTCTCATTGACGGAGCGTGAGTCTATGTACACGAGCAGGGGAGTCACACCCCTAGCTCATAGCATAGACGTAGCCTGAGAGGACATGGCAGCCTCTCTTGGCTAGTGCACCCCCTGGTTCTATTACCAGTGGAGCTGCACTGAAGGTAGTGCTGGTGGGAAACTCTATGAAAATAAAGTTTAGTGTAGATGGGCTTTGGAGATATTTCCCCTCATTCTCTGTCCTGAACAAGTATGCAGTGGTGTGCTATGCACTGTTCACTTCTCCAGAGGTGACTACATGTTTGTGATGGATGAAATGATCCCTACTTGCATATATAAAGTCTGTAATGTACTGTAGGAGCCTCATAAAGGTAAGGTCTTGGCAGTAGTAACGACGTATGGTACAAGGCAAGTATGGACCGAGAACAGACTAATTGGTCAAATAGAGCATGATCCACATTATTAAGGTGAGGGGTGCATGTCCCCCAGGCTCAGCTGAGACCAGCATGTCACATCACCAAGTTGAAGCAAAGCTGTTTCTTTTCTGTGATAAGACCGAAGCTCAGAGCCGATGGGTTTAGTTAAAACCAAAGATGAATTCTTGATCCCTCTTTTAGCTAAATAAGAAGGATTTAGAACTAGGGTAAGAGTCAACTTTGGTAAGTTTGAGGTCTTTGCTAAATGACCTACAAGAACAGATTTAACAAAAAAACCCCTCTGGAAATTCACCAGAAAACAATAGCTGTAATTGTGTTAAGACTGGACAAGAGTTGAAAACAGCCTTTCACGCGTGAGGCAAGCCAAGTGCTGAGGTTAGAACTGCTTGGTCAAAGCATTGGACTAATCTCATTTAAATCCACAACAACAAGCAAACTATTTTTTTAATTGACTTTTTCCACCTTATAAAACAATGTAGTCTTTCAGTTGAGATTACTGGCACAGTCATGGAAACCTCTCTCTCTCCATGAGTAATAGCTTCCATAGGTACTGGCAGAAGAAGGGTTATACCCTTCTATTATTATAGATAGTATGGTAGAGCCTAGGCAGCCTAATCAAATAAAGGTCTCACGGGGCTAGGTGCTGTACAAACATCAGAGGTGGGCTCTCCCCTCTGAAAACCTTACAATCTAAATAGGTAAGACATACAACAGGTGGGAGAAAGACACTAGTAGTAGCCTCATTTTACAGATTGGGAACTAAGCGTGTATCTAGCAAGGATGCCACGATATGGGGTTCAGTGCCAGCTGCACAAGCCTGCCTCCCTGGGTATGGACTCCCTTATATCCCCAACCCTGGCATCCTCCGTTCTATTTTTAGTGAGCTAACTAGAATACCATGAGTGGAGGTATGTTACGTGACCTGCCATTCGCTCTGCTGGCTGCAATGTGCCAAAAACACCGGAGACCTGGTT